GAGACTGGTATCTGCCTTTACCCTCTGACAGCTGTCACACGTACGACAGTACGCTGCGACGGATTGACGCAGCCTAGGCCACCAAAACGAACGACGCACCAAATCAAGAGTTTTGGTTACGCCCGTATGGCCTGCCAACGGATGGTCATGACAAAGACGCAGAACGGTAGTATGCAAATCAGCATGATCTGGCACAACCAAAGCATCTCCTCGATACCAGAATTGACCACGTTGCGATAATGCAACCGTGTTTTCTGATATTTTAAACCAAGGATCGATACCATACCCATCAAGTACCGATGACTCGAACATACGTCTGTATTTTTTCGGGCATTGTATAGGCGAGATATTCGGGAAAATAGGTGAAAGGTATATAGGCCAGTAAGGTGTACACATATTATACGAGACTTAAAGGCTTAGGCATAAGAGGCGCATGTGTAAGTGATGCCCTAATATACGATCATGTATGGCATAGTATTATAAGTACATTTTTACATCATAACCTGTAGCAAGGGATGTTTAGGCTATGCGGTATACAGGTATGTATACACTTGATGTTGTAAACGACATTGCCTTTATAGACGCAAGTATACATGATTCCCTATAATAGGACCTGTACAGGCATGGCATAATAGGCTTTTCTTATGAGTCACCCTTTAGATACTTGGGTAGTACCCAAGTCATCGCTCAGATCGATCGCGCGACCTCACTACCTCTCTTGAAGTGACTATAGATTAGAAATTGCACCCTTACCTACCGTGGCTCGATCCCGGGATCTCACGAGAGTATTGGTCGCGCCTTACCGGTAGTACTTAACGCAGAATATAAAGTAGGGGTTTTTCGAGCTTTTATACTTAGAACCTAAAGGGCACTCATGAACATCAGCTGCGTTAGCCTGGCTTGTCGTCCATGCGGCAGCCTCTGGGCAAATGGCCCAACTCCATTTGAGTTTGCTGCTGGCTGCGGCCAAGAAACATGCAATGCAACCGCCATATGATCCCTAGGTGTAATTGTTTTGCATACAAGTCGACGTAGATACCTCCTGTGACCGCCGTACAGGAAGGAAGTTTTCCGGTACGACAACATGTGAGGTCCAGAACCGAACACAAAAGCAGGAATCACCATTCAGAGCGTAAAACGTCGCCGTCCATGACTTATGCATATGAATTCACGTGTTCTCTTCGCGTTTTTCTCCTTCTTCGTAAGGCCAACGCGTCGACCAACGCACATCTTACACCCGTCCGGTCCAGAGCCTCTATAGCAATAATATTGACATAAACATAAAAGTCATTTATGAACATCTGCTACGTTTGTCTAGCATTGTCGTACCGGAGGTTGGGTCGGCAGCAGACCATGAACTTCTCGCCTAGGAAAATACTTAGCGCAGCCAAGAAACATAATTTAAATCTGTTAGTTTATCCCACTGGTCTTAGGATTGCCTTCAAGTCGACGTAGATGCCACCTCCTGTCACCGCCGTATCGGAATGCATTTATCAAGCAAAAGAC